CCTATGCACACTATCCAGAGTCTGCTCGTTTTCGAGCAGATTCTCCTAAGAGTGTCGAGGGTCTTGGGTGGGAGATCCGGATGTTTGACCCCGAACACGGTGACACCCGGCGAAAGCGCCCTTCCGGGTAAAAATCCTCGGATGTCACTGGATGTCTTGTTAAATGAGGTGCACCACAAGTGTGGGCCTGTGCTGCAGAAAGAGTCAACGGTCTTGTCGTGGTGGTCCGCACGCGCGAACGATAGAACACCACCATTTTTGCCGCCATACGCACCAGTATTGCAACGTGGATTATAAGTGTGCAAAGTATGTATGGTCAATAGGAACACTGCTGGCAGTGAATATGATTGTCTGAATTGGTGATAGTGGTCATCGCGTTTTTTAGCATGTCCGTCTAGTTAAAATACCAGCCATGAGTGTGCATTACATGAGCTTACAAGCAAATTAGCTGTGATTAAGCTTGGATGTGCTCGTTAAGCAGCCTCTCGCACAAATGTGTCCGGTCGTACTTCGCGAATAAAACATCCGTACATCGTCCAAAAAAAGCCAGGAGCGAATTTTGCCGCGCGGATGCGCGCGTACGATTCGCAAAATGCGCCTGTACAAGTGTATATAAAATTTCTTGGCGGATGAGGACCAGGTGCGCCAGCGCGTTGCGCAGGTGGGCATGTTGGCCATAGCCGCACGCTGGACTATTGCGTGGATGCTTTGCAGTAAATAAAAGCACCTAAAGCCAACGGCGTAGCTTGCAACTCTGGGCTCGTGAAACTGCCGCGGCAGATGAAGCGGTCGGCGAAGAATCAGCCATAAGGCGCCTGCTTTCGGTAGCGCAGCGCATAATGCACATTGTTCCGACTAAACTCAAGTTACACTCTTACGAAATAAATAATAACAAAGCAGAATTAGGTAAAGAGAAGAATCGCGAAAGTCGTTCAGAACCTTGCAAGTAAAATGGATGCCGCTGAGGGCTTGGAACAGCTTTTCGCAGCGCATTCGGCCGTGCCTGCGTTAGCCGTGTTGCAGCTACTACGGAAGGACTTGAGCCAGCAGCAAGCTCAAATTCTGTTTAAGAACGACCGGCATTGTCTTCAGATGGGAACATGTAGTTTTGGTCGGCGCGGGCGAGCAGCGTACGCATTGCGCACAGGTACCGAGGTGCAGCTCTCAGGATGGATTTCAGCCAACAAAGCCTCAAGATCTGCTGCACAACCACCGGTGTGTCTTCAGTTGGGCACGTGTAGTTTTGGTCGGCGGGGTCGAGCATCGTATGCATTGCGCACAGAAACCAAGGTGCAGCGTCTCTGTAACATCGCCAACATATCCGGTACGCGGTGGCAGGCTTGCCGAGCACGAAATGAAGGGGGGTCGCATCTCACCATTCAACTAAGCATGCATGTGCTCGGTTGAATGCTCGGTAGCATGCGAGTTTACCTATCAGGATGTTTGTTTGCATATATCCCTCCAAGCGAGAGGGCTTGGACCTATGCTGATGTTCGTTACAAGAAGTGAACTGAGGACTGATGCTACACGTCATGTATACGCGTTGCTTAGCTTGCAACGAGACGCGCCCACGATGAAAGCTTCAGCTACACTCACAATACATTATACTGCTACACTATCCTCTCCAGTCCTACCACATTATATTTCACATTATATTTCACCGACGTACTTCCGCACCTTCCACATCACCATACGTGCTTTGGAAACGCGGGCAGCTGCTTCACAAGGGCCCCCATCTTTAGGAGTATCAGTGGAGGCAAAAGCAGCATGCACATATGTGTACGACCATCCCCGGCCCAGTAATATGTTGGCCGACCTCAGGACTGATTGCCTGATGTTTTCACAATGCAAACTATTATATAACAATCGATGACAACCAAAGGCATCCATTTAGTGAAGACCTGTCGTCGACTTGTGTATATGCTGCCAGCATTCACGCCTTCTCCTGTACTTATCTACAAGCTCCTGTTTTACAGCAGCCAAATGCATATAAGACGAGTAGCCTATAGGCCCATACATATGTCCACAATCCAGGGCAACGGAGGGGTTTACCCTGGGGTCATGTTACCCCTCCTGCTGGGTAGGAACTTACAAGGGGGTTACCAAAGGGCTACCGGGGGTTGAAAATGGGTAACCCATGGGTTACTGCCCCAATCAGTGCCTTAGGGTTGCCTGCATGCTCATGATGTGTCCTGTAGGAATATGCCAAGCAAGCTGGCCTGAGGTTATGGATGGGCCCCTGGTCCTATGTGGAGCTGGAGGCAGCACGTGGCATCATGTTCTCTTCGGTCAGCAAAGCTAAACTGTCAGAGCTGTATGCTCGGTGGGGCGGCATCCCACGTTACGTCCTGAAGTACGCAGCCAACCCCGAACTGCAGGAGGAGCTTGATGCAGCGGTGGCAACCGTTAATATGGATCTCTTGTGGAAATCCGTAGGCAACATTGAAGCTGCACCGGATGTCAGCCACAAACTGATCCACGTCGAGGTAGGTGTGAGGTCTTCTCTATTTGACCATTAGCAGATGTGGCTCCAGGCAGAGAGTACTCCCAACTGGGAGATGCCAGGGGAGCTGATCCCTCTTACATTCCTCCCCCCCTTGAGGAAACGTCCTCGGGCACCCCTGGGCATATCCTGTAGGATTTAGGTTGTTTGAGATCCCGTAGGGTTGTGTATTAGTTTGTTATTGTGACATTTCGTCAGTCCCCGTCCGAGATTGAGGACTTTGTTTTTACTCAGCTAGTAGACTTCCCGCCCACCTGGGCATCCACCTTTGGGGTGAGAGTATGCTGCATCATGCCTGGTGTGCGATCTGCTCGCAACCAAATTCGATCCGGGGAGTTCCCACCTCCTAGCAATTCGCACCAATGTAACACCAGGCAAAGAGTACTCAGTTGGGAGATGCCAGGGGAGCTGATCCCTCTTTACAGCAGATGCCCCATGTGTTGTGACTGGTGACTTTGCACTGGGCAGGCAATATTGGGTGGATGTGCATATCTAAAGGCCCACAGGGGAAAATCCGGTGGAAGAATCACTGGAAATCAGTGCCATTTTTAAAAGCAGGGATGCGCACAGAGTGTGGCAATGGCATGGGGTCTGCACACCATCTGACAAGCCTTTCTCATGTTGTGGGTTGTTGCAATGACATGCAGGTGGATGAGAACTGCAGCAGGAAACGCCTAGTCTTCGGCTCCGGGATAATCGGCCAGCGTGTGATGCAGGAGTTGCATCGGCAGGGTACTGCTGAGTTGGCCAAATTCGTTAAGTGGTCCGCTGGCAGACCAGATTTGGCCTCACTTAGAGGCATAATGTTCCAGGGGCTAGCACATGACTTGCTGTGCCGGGGCGGCTCGTTTCGTATGCGCAGCCTTTCTAACCCCGGAGAGCAGGAGGTCAGCCTGGAGGTGCCGGAAATGGAGTTGATGGAGGTGCAGGACAGCGACCTCAAAAAAATCAGCCCCACAACAAAAGGGTCTGGGCTCCTGGTGCCGGTGGCGAGGAACTTCACTGCCGTGGACAGCTTTTTGATTTTGCCTGACAGCAACGGCAAGGCAGCACGACTGCTCCTTATCCAGGTGACTGTCTCTGCCAATCACCGTATTAGCGCGTCAGGGCTGCAAACCTCCATGCGGAAACTGTCCAGGGACCTGAAGGGGCTCAAGCGCGAAATGTACTTTGCAGTGCCGCCCGACCTGTTCAAGCAGTTCAGGAAGCAACAGTTTGAGGGGGTAGCTAAGGACTCCATCGAGATCGATCAGTTTGCCATCGAGATCCCCCTGGTAGGCTTTGCTCCTGGTTCCGAATCCAGCAGCCCTGGAAGCTCCAGCAGCAGCAGCAGCAGCAGCAACTTTCCGACTGCTGGCAGAGGTGGCCATGTTGCGCCGTCTGCTTTGAGCAGGTCCCCAACGGGCATCTCAATTCCGAGGCGCAGCCATCTGCCACGGTTGAATCCGCGCATGGTCATCCTTCCCAAGCTGCATATCTCGAGCATCTCCTCTGCTGCCCCCAGTTGGCGGTGATGGTGTCGCCACTGCAGCTGTGGCAGCTGCATCCGCTGGTGATGGCTGGTATGGTGGCCGCTGTGGATGTGGGCACAAGGTTGTGAACGTCAGAGGCTTAGAAATCTAGTCGGTGGCTTTGCTTGTCTTGGTCACCATGGCATGATGCCTTATTGGGCCCTCTAGACATGCAGATTCATGTTAACGGTTGGGCTCGCAGCTGGTGTGTACCTGGGGACTGGTCATTGCTGGGCATTTGCTCATTTGCTGGTGTTGCAGGTTGTGTAGATATAGGCACAGATGGGCATGTATCTGTAAGTGCCCTGAGTTGTACAAGGAAACAGCTACAGATATGAGTGGTAGCATGGGCGGAGTAGGTTTGTACGGCTGAATATGTGTACACTTGTGTACGGCTGAATACATGCCTTGGCATCTCTGAACGGGCCTGCAATGTGTTGGACTGCTGTTGGGGTGCTGGCTG